AAGCCCACATGCCCTACAATAAGGGCTTACGCATCATAATGTCCACATTGTCCCTACACCTTCACCTCACGCATCGGCCTGGCCGGTCACTTGCGAATCTGTCGCCCAGAGACTGGCGAACCAGTGTCCGACGCACTCACCTACACCCGCCGCATCCGCCTCCACTGCCTACACTGTCCTCTCACCTTCGTGCACCGCATGGGCCTATTCGGCCACATGCGCACCCATGAAAACCTGCAGTAGGCAGACGTCGACTGCACCACGCCACCACAGCCTCCTTCATCACCATCTCCTTGCACATCAGCATCACCCACCACAAACATCCAATTGACACCTCCCACGGAAGTGGGAGGTGTGTGTTTCAACTCGGCCTCCGTGCAGCTCCTGCCGCATGAGTGACTCGAGCCTGGGACTATCCCGGATTGGAAGGCTGCTGACTGACGCCCCAGCTCAGTCCACGCAGTCCGCTCAGTTGTGTGTGTGTGTTTGTGTGGAGTGGCGGACTGGTGGGCTGAGAGACGGGCTGAAACAGCTCCTTCCACGACACTCACGCAAGTGAGAGATACGCTGCTCAATCCCCGTTGTGTGAAATCCTGGTGCCTGTGTTTGGGGGGACCAGGTCGTGCGTGCGGCGCGCGTAGACAAGATCACTAGACTATGCCATCCACCACTCCCATTGCCCGCTGCAGTCAACTGACCGGCTCAGGCAGTGGCTGAGGCATGGGAATGGGAAGGGAGAGTGAGGTCGACGACTCAACGCATTTACTTCGTTATAAACAATCTGACGCATATGAAGCTATCACGGTGCGCTATAAGCCATAGTAACTGACGGGACAACTTGGACCTCTTAGTCGGCCCAGCGCCGTGTGTCTGTATGGAGTGGCACGCTGGTGGTCTGAGAGTCGGGCTGAAATGGCTCCTTCTTAATGTGGCATTTATGGCACTCGCACTCCGTAGGATCCGAGCCAGGTGTGACGGCACGCGCAGGTGCGGCTTCGGCCGTGCCAGCCTCCATTCTCTTTGCTGTTGGTCAAAAACCTGGTTATTTGTGGGTGTGGAGTGGAAAGACAAGGCTTCTCCGGCCTTCTCGACTCTGGTTTGGCACCGGCTACAGGTGGGAAAGGAGGAGGAAGTGCGGTAGATGCAGTGTAAGTCTACTCTCATTATAAATCTCGCTCAAGTCACCGTCCCTGCTCTTACCCTGCGGTGGAGCATACGGTTGACATCGTCGGATGCAACGGTCGAACTCTCGCGTATCTTAGTCAAATGCTTTGTATTTCTGTTCAGTGCCAAATGCTGGAATGGCGATTGAAATTTTAACTTCTCAACTACATGAATTTCGCTATATTCAGACATTCTATTAGTTAGTAGTTGACTCTTCGATTGAATTAGCGATGGGGGGAATGGAAGAATGTTTCAGGACTCCGTTTAAGCCAGTTAACATTCTTAAGACATAAGGTCCCCGCTGTGTTCCCTTAATTCCTCTTATGAATAGATAGCTAGTCTAAAATCCGCTAGATTGAAATCCGATACATTTAACTAGGTAAAAACATTAAATCAATAGTTACTTGCTACTGATACTGAACCAGATGATTTTCCAGCATGCGGACGTAACAGAAATGCTATATACGGAAACTTTGTCCACATTCACGATAAGAAGAAACTAAAAAGGAGGAGATGCCATCAATGGAGAAAGAATTTTATTGACCTAACTTTTCAGACTCACCCCTGGATCCATCAAAGAAGACCGAATTAGTTAAGGATAATGTCTTGCACAAATTCGAGGAGGCCAAAATTCTCGTGAGAGGTGGCGTGCAGGCCAGACGAGAACTGCTAGGGTCATGATTTTACGATTCTCAATCGATTTACAAATGCAATGACCTCCCGTCTACGTATTCTATGATGAGACTTTGACCGGACAGAGTGATTATAGCTATGCAGGGAGCGCACAAGCGAGCGCTGTTTCCAGTATCAGTGTTGTAAGTCAAATGACCAAAGAACACACCCGACTAATAAAATTATTTCAATTAACGGCTCGGCTGCGGACCATCACACCGCTTGCAGCCATCAGCAACGAATGCGAGAGCCACCAACTTTGATAAGTACTCAGTGGCATACTAATTACATACTATATATGCGACAACACTTGTGTAAAACATTACCCATATCTGATTATGCATCCGATAATAGGTTAGAGTGGAAATCAGAAACGTCAGGCACGTAAAAACTCTCGTTCCAATCATCGTATCACCTTCTCGGCTGCCTCCCATAACTCGCCTCTTCGCTTCCATCGACCACAGAGTCTGTGACGTAAATAGTTAAAGGCTTATTTGCTGTTCATTTGGCGACTGACTTTTACAGGGATGCTTGGTTCGACCGTCGGATTCGATTATGTCCACCGTATGCCCCACCGCAGGGTGTGAGCAGGGACGTGACTTGTGCGTGATTTAGTTTATAGTGAATGTAAACCTGCACCCTCCCCTCCTCCCCCATCTAGACCCGGTGTCAAGACAGAGTCAAGAAGACCGGAGGCAGGGGAGGGCGCAGGTGGATGGCAGTGTCGAGCCCGCACCTTGGCGCTCCACTACACACTCCCTGGTCCACACAGCAAATGACCAAGTTTTTGACCAACGACAACAAGGGGGGTGGCGGCGGTTCCAGTGTGCGTGATGTCTGCTGGCAACCGGGTCTGCCACCGCACCCCGAAATATGGGCATTTAATATGATGTGCCAATCCGATAACGCCTGCCAGAATCCGATATGGCCCCCGTGTTGGTCCAGTGCATCTACCATGTGGTCCCTTTGGGGGCCAAGAGAAGGATGCCTGGTAAACGTGTGGTCACTCACACATGTCCTTTGTGAAAATACATCGCATTGAAATAAACGAAGTGATGTCTCTGTACGTCCAATTCAGAGGCTAAAAAGATTTCATGACGCCCATGACGTGAGCCCAAATCCATCAGGAAGTTACGCGATGGCTAGTTACAGTTGTGAACCTGAATCAGGCGATCGGCCATTTGAGACAGCTGTTTAGGTGCGAGCCAGCTAGATGTAGGTGATAAAGTGCGTCACAGGGGAGTAGCACGCTCCCAGATGAAAATATAGGGGGATGGGATTGAATGGGAATCCGCATCGCTGCAGAAAGCACACAGCCGGAGGATTAGCCCTCTCAGCGGGAGTTAATGAATGGGGGCTGCAGCTGACTGAACCGTCTCGCCACGTGTGAGTGGCTGGCTTAGTGGCAGACATTCACACAAAGGTCAAGCTGCTTTGTTTGTTTGTGAGAGCGTCAAAAGAGTTCGCGCCGGACGGCCCTTGCTACAGCAGGACACACTGGGACAGTGTGTGAGTGGTGACGCATCCGAGGAGACAAATTCTTCCGGCCTCGGTACACCGGCCGCGCATAGCGAAGGCACTGGCAAATCCACAACAGCCTGCGCCACATCAGCACCCCATCACACAGAAGATTCATCTCTGCCGAGGGAGCTTTTGCTGGCGTGCATTATACATCGTTTCATGTGGATCCGCAGCGTGAAAATCATCACCCACTACATCAGAACTGGACTACTTTGGAACCTCGTAGTAAACAAGGCAGATTTGTCACAGAAATAGAGTACCTACGTCTATGGCGAAGAGTTTTATCGCTTCATCCTTGATGGGGTGCGTAAATAGCAGCTGTTATGTAAGATCCTGGGCAGTGTCCTTTGTGGACCAGCGGGTGTGGTGGTATGCCTAAGTGCGCGTTTTCGTCGTGCCAAACATCTGCGCCTTCCCCTATATCTGGTAATCTTGAATATATCTTGACACCAGGCCCGGATGGGGAGAGAGAGAGGAGGGGTAGATGCTGCGCAAGTTTACTGTAATTTTAATATAACTCACGTACAATCCACCGTCCCTTCACGCCCTCGGCCGTGGAGCTCATGATGGACATCATCGGAAACGGCGGTCATACAGTCGGGTGACCAAGCGGGCCAATATTTAAATTTCAAGAGTTTCCGACAGGAACCGATAAAATTTGTTCCACATGAAGAAGATTCAATCATCATAAACATCGCCGAGTTTTCCCGATATTTTGAACTCCTGCTTACGCTCGTCACCAGGCGATGATCATTTCGTCAGATTTACTCTCCACTTATACCGAGTTGGTTCAGTATAGCCATTGTTCAGTATGGCGTCGGTGCGGGTCTTTGCGTGAGAACCCGTGTATGTTAAGCTGGCTTCTGCTGACGTCAGGTAGGAATTAATTCCGTCCCAGTCCTCAAACTAAAACTTTTCGGCAACGATAGAGTGAAGGACCCCAACCAACACTGCCAGCCAAAGGTACCTGTCTTACGAGAAAAGCAGTAATAGGGGTTTTACGGGCGGGGCTTATGCTTGCATAGAGAAGAGGCAAAATAAGTATAGATAATTTGTAAATTCGTTCTTCGCGCAGAAAAGTTTTAATGCACTGACATATAACAACCGAAATTAAACAGGACAATTTAAAAAAATAAACATTAAGCCTCCCCAACGATAGCTTCTCAACTCTCTGAGCTGCATTATCTACAATGAACTCAGCTCAGAGGGTTGAGAAGCTATCGATGTAGACACTTAATGTAAGACAGGCACCTTTGGCTGGTCTTGTGTGTTTGGAGTCCTTCACCCGATGGTTTCCAACTTTTCCTCTAAACTTTCCTACTCTACTGACAGAAATCGATTTGCAATTCAAGGCTGTCTTCCTCTAATTTTGGGGGTACCATGTGCATCCTGGTATCTGCACTAAAAGAACAGGAAATACAATTAAAAGTCACTGATTAATTTTACTGCAATTTCATCAACCGCCGGGTCAAAAATAATTAGTCACGCGGGGAGGGCTCGGGCGACCAACAGTTTCATTGACAGTGTGCCAAATTGCTGAGTAATCGTCACGCCAATAGTCAACAACAGTGATGAAATCACGGCTAATAACGTCCTGGGTACGAACCGACAAGCACTTATCGTATCAAATATGAGCCCCAGCGATGGACGCGAATGTTGCCGAATATTGTAGGCATGTGGGTTTCGGGCAACTGCGTCGTATAAGTACTGCGCCCCTTGTGCATCTACGGCTCTTTCCTGCGACTGTGATGATGGATTCGAGGGAAAATCCGAAACGTCAGGCCAATAAACATCTTGTTTCCGGTGATCGCCTTATCTTCTTCTTCTTCTTCTTCTTCTTCTTCTTCTTCTTCTTCTTCTTCTTCTTCTTCTTCTTCTTCTTCTTCTTCTTCAGTGAGAGGAATGTTTACTTAGAATCCACATTATTCGAAATTTTCCCAAATCCCTCTGACAGAATTATATTCCAGGTACAACACTCTAATCTTTAAGTAGCGCAATGCTCACGGAGAAATATGAGAGGTTCTTGGTTTTGACAGTGCTGTGCTAAAGTGTACTGCCGACATGGGTGAAAATTTCCACGGCTTTCAGTTGGGTGCCGTTAGCATGGATGCGAGGGACGTTGCGTTAAGTGCGGGGCGGCGTTCGATGCCTAAACACTGTTTTGTCTGTGTTTATTTTTAGTCCGAAGTTGGCGCGGTCGGCGGCATAAAGGTCCATGTCCTTTTGCATGTCTGCTTCTGTCACTGCGCAGTCGTCCGCGAAGAGCAGGTCATGGACAGCAGTCGCATCGGAATCTGTTGTTGAGAGGATGGGCATCGGTCCCGTAGACGATGCAGACCCGCGGGCGCTCATCACGGTAGGCATCCATCAACGTGACGGAGAACATGAGGATGAAGACGGTGGGAGCGGGTACGCAGCCCAGCGTCATTCAGTCAGTCGCTGCGAATGCTTCTGAGACAGTCCCACTGCCCGCGTGCCGTCATCCCGCCGTAGAGTTGTCACACCATGTGCATGCATCGTTCAGGCCAGTGGAATTTCTGCATGATTCTCCACAGTCCTGCGCGGTCTGTCGTGCCAAATGCTTCCGCCAAGTTGACGAAGGTAGTGTAGAGGCGGGTTTGAATCTCCTGGCACTTTTCTTGCAGCCGGCGTGCGGCAAAGATCATGTAGAGGGAAGCCATACCGGCTTTTCGAGATAAGTACTTGTTCGAGACGGCAATTGAGGCAGTTACAGAGGATGTGAGCGAAGACAATTCCGGGATGTTAAGCAACGAAATGCCCCCATGGTTATCACAGAGTTTACGCTTCCCTTCCGTCCGTAAAGATGGACAGTTGTCGGGTCCCTGGAATCCTGCGGAGCTTGTCCGCAGCACCAAATCTCTTGGAATAGCGTCGTAGGTCGATACGTGATCTGGGGGACACCGTGCTTGCAGACTTCGGCCGGAATCACGTCCGATTCCACTGCTTGCCTGCTGAAGAGTTGGTCCATGACTAGGAAGGGTCTGGAAGGGAATACGGGAGGACCAAGTCGTTATGCATTCCAATCTGGGGTATTCAGTCGGTTGCAGCGTCTGAGATTGTGGAGGGATGGTTGTGGACTCTTCTGAAGTGCTGAGCCCAGCGCTTCATAATCTCGTATTTCTCCGTCAGAAGTGTTGTTCCGTTGAAGCTAGGAAGTGACACAGTTCCCTCAACTGTGCGGTCGTAGACCGTCTTGACTGATGCGAAAGAAGTCCTTTGTCTCACTGTGGTCTGTGCCCGTGCGGGCATTGAATTTACCAAAGATAATTAGCTTGTCCATCTGTTGTACAGATGCCAGGAGGGCGTACAGATTATCGTAGAAGTTGTTCTTCGCCCCGTTGAAGCTGGTCATTAGGGAGGAGGGAGAGAACGTAGGCACTGATTATGGTGGCGAATTTGGCTACCCAAAGAGGCAGGCGCGATGTCATGAGGCGGTCCTTGATGGCCTGCGGCAGACACAACAGTTGTCCTACGATGTCGTTCCGGATGGCAAAGGCGACGCCTGCGTCACGTCGCCCTGCTTTTGGGTGGCCGCTCCAGAAGAGGGTTTAGGCGTCACCCACCTTCCCCAGTTGGCCTTGTTAGGGGAAGCAGATCTCGCTGAGAGGAGCGACGCCCATTAAGAGACGCCCCAGTTTTTGAGCGAATGGCGCCGTCCTCCGTTCCGGCCATTTGCTCTTTGGATTATCTAGAACGAGCATCCCCGGCTGCCGCAGTGAGCGCACCCACCCAAACAGATTATGGGGCGAGACTGGGAGAGGGCGGTGTGGATTGTCGCTTGTTTAATTGTTTTGACCTTGACTGGTATATCTGTGGGCCACAGCCTGTGCGTAGATGAAACGATTGCAACATTTGTTTAGGGTAACTGTTCTAGTCCCTTCATTCCGAGGGGCTAGAACAGTGCTGTACCTAGATATGGCTGCTTAGACGTCCCAGACGACTACCGCACCCCATCAGGGTTCGCGACCATCTGTAGTGAGAGGGTGATCTGAGTTAGCCTTGGCAGCCTATGGGCCTGCATGTCGCCCTCTCCGTAGAACTTTTGGAAGTGGAATGGCGAGGCTACGAGAAGGAAGTAGGGAGGGAAGGCAGGAAGACGGGGAGGGGGAATTTGAATGGGAACAGAATTACGAGTTGTCGGGACACAACGCCAGCTACCTCCATATGGTCTAGCCCGCCGGTCGAGGCAGTTGCCGGGATATGACCGCTAGACGGAGCCTAGTTTTGGGGAGCCGCCTACGAGTGTTGGGTGCCAGATAAGGGCTGCGCGGAGCAGTCAGCATTTGCTTGGTGTCTTCTACCACTCATGCACAGGTGCTCCTAACTGAGCACCTTAACGCAGGAGTTTTTAAGGACTGGCTTGCTCTTTTGCCTCCCCTCCCCACGCCGTTTTATGTGGCCACACCCCTGTAAGCACCATACTGCTGTCTTTGAACACTTCACTGTTTTTTGCTTTATTAAGAGAAGATTCCTTCGTGGGGTCTAACATGTTTGCGTCCATTGTCGGATGAGTTAGCACTAAGTGGCCTACCTGGAATCTTACTTACCGACCTACCACCCATTCACGGATGGTACGAACATTGAGAAACGCATGCAGCCGGGTGCGTCGGCCATTGTTCAGTCAAATGGGGAGGTTGTTCATTACTGAGAACCTAGGTTTTGATGTACGAATTATGGACTTCCGAAGAAAAGAGAGAAAAGTAAATCAGACGCGTATATTAGTGGATATGCATATCCCAGCCTCTTGGTCTAAAAAGTGGTGTATTGCTGCATGCGCGAAAACCTTGTTACCAGTCAAATGTGAAAGTCTTCGAAATTGTTAGCATGAGAGCACGCATGCAATGGGCGAAACCTATAAAAGGGCTCCTATTTCAGACGCCTTTTTAAGTCTACTACCGTCTTTGCGGAGCTCAGCTCGCATTCAGAGTTTTCGAAAGTCAGTCAGGCCCAGGAGGAATTTAGAACTTGACTGATTCGGTTGCCGCAATAGGGTCTAGTTGTTAATGATGTTGGGACATAAATATCCTGTGGCTAATGCACCTCATGTTGGTGGGCAGTAGCTTTACATGTGTTAATGAGTAAACAAGTAATTGGGAAGACGGAAAACATCCCTAAGAGCCAGAAGCATCCTAAGGCGGAATATAAAATTGAGGGATGATGACCAGACGATATCAGTTTCGGAATACCCTTATCTAGAGGCGACTGTGCGCGTGCGCATCAGGACGGCAGGCTGGGTATGAGCTGGGGTGAGACATCGCAACCAACTGCACAATTTCGGACTCCCAGCCTGTCCCCATAGCCAGGCCAGCCGCCAGCTCAGAGTGCCGTCTATGTGCGCTCTCTCCCCCCGTTGAGTCAGTAGCGCAGGCAGCGCCTGTCCCCGATTGGCCTCCTTTGGGGATAACCAGAAAAGGGGCCGGAATAGCGCAGGCTGACTCATGCCGTCAGGTAACACGTCACCGCACGCACGCTCTACGTGATGCGGGTTTGCGTCACCGGACGGTGGCAGGCAAAGTCAGCTTTTGGTTTTTAGTGCCCGCATGACCCAATCCCTCCGTTACTGAAAGAAGCAATCTGCTGCATTACCTTTAGAGAACATTAGGGGGGGTCTGTTGAAAGCCTCACCACGCATTCATATATTGTTGGAGTACAGGAACTGAGGAGCCCGTAGGTCTGGACGAAGGAACTCCGGCCACCATAATAATTTCGTTTGATTGATTAACTAGCCTCGAGTGGACACGATATTACAGTAGATGGCATACCTAGTGAAATGTTAACTAAAATCCTGAAGTATGTTTTCGACAATAAAGAATTACGTGGGTGGGACTGTAATACGGACTACTGAGCAGCAAAATAGGTAGATATTTCAGTCACACCACGATGCCAACTTTTGAATGCGCTTCTTTTTGGCCACCAGCAGAAATCCCACTAGTAGCAAAGTGACTACATATGCAGTATGCCTTTTTTCACTGATTTTCATGCCCCTATAAGTTCAAATATCTTGTATGGAAACCATACACAAAAAATTCTTCCTCGTACCCATTTCATAGTAAACCACGTCTATTTTAGAAATTTTATACTCAATGAAAGTGTATATTTTAGTTTGAAAAGTTCGTAATTATGAAAGAATGGAAAAATCCTTTTTATGTTTACTTAATACTGCAGCTGTCAAGCAACTTTTCGTTCATCTCTATGCATAGGAGATATTCTTGAGACACCGAACCAAAACGTAGTACCTCTTTATTCATAAAGTAGAACGCAATTGTCTCATGGTGCTCCCGATATACACGGACGGTATAAAACTGTTTACTGTAAATCTTACAAGCAAATACAGATATAAAATACCGTAATAGTTGCCGACAGTTCGACCGTCGGTTCCGACGATGTCCACCGTGTGTTCCACTGAAAGGTGAAGCACATATGGTGACTTACGCGTGAATTAGTTTATAGCGATGGTAAATTTGCGCGGTATCTACCGTACCCTCTCCTCTCCAACCCCCCCACCTGGTCCCGGTGTCAAGACAGAGTCAAGAAGACCGGGGGCGGGTAAGGACGCAGGTGGTTGGCACGGCCGGACCTGCATCCAGACGTGCCACCACATCCCCTGGTCCACAGCACACACTTGACCAGGATTTTTCACTAACAACAACAACACCCCAAGTGGGGTCAGAAGGACGAGGATGACGGGGCAGTCATTCGCACCACCTGTATACCCCACGGGAGAGCAAGCGGTAAGGGACCAGGTGTCAGGGAACTGCCAGCGCATACGAGGCTTCGAGGGTCATGGTTTGCTGATACTGATGTGGCACACGCTTTCGGACCTTTTGACCTAGAAGGGAGCCACCTAGCCCTGTATTTAGCCTGGGCCGTCACACTTCACGGTTGGTTAACTAAACAGTCGTTGACTGAGAGGCACCATTCATAAAGCACAAACACCCTCCTCAGATGCATGAGAATGTCACAGATCGCTTGAGAAGGGGCCGTGACAGCCTGGCTCTCAGCCCACCACTCCGCCACTACACACAACGCACACAACTGGGCAGACTGCGTGGACTAAGTTGGGGCGTCAGTCGGCTGCCGTCCGAACCGCGGCGCTCGACGCACCGTCTTCGTCTCAGATTCCGATCATACATGCATCAGGGGAGCCGCATGGTGAAGGGACCGAGACACACACCTTGCGTGAGAGGTGGCAGTTGGGTGCTTGCGGTGGGTAATGTTGGTGTACGGGGAGATGCTGGTAAGGAAGGCTGTGATATGTGGTGCAGCCGGCGGTTGTCTACCGTAGGTTTTCATGGATGCGCATGTGGCCGAACAGGCCCATGCGGTGGATGAATGTGTGAGTACAGTGAGGACAGTTGGGGCGGATGCGTCGGGTGTGTGTTGCTGCTCCAGGTACTGGTTCACCAGTCTCTATGCGATGTGTTCGCAAGTGACCGACCAGGCCGATGCGCGGGTTAAATGCGTGGGGGCAGTGTGGACATGAGGAGTTGGCGGTATCAGTATCAGCTTCAATGATGATTAGGGTGGAGCTGGTGGTGGTGGGCGCGCTAGGCGACGAAGGCCAGGCAAACAAGAACAAGCAGAAGCAAGGTAAGATAGCAAATTCAACGGAACGGTATTTAGCTTACGACAAGGACGAACACAAATAAGCAGACAGAAAACAAGCCAAACAAAGACGGCAGAACAATATCCGGCTTACCTGGGGGCTCGCTTAACTTCTGGCCTCCTACGGTGTTCCAGACGGAGCCTCATCTCGGAGATGCCGATGTGGTGATCCATCCGGCCTGCGGAGCCGAGATTACCATGTGCGGAGATGCACACATGGATATCCTCATCTGGTTTAGTCCGCGGGTCGAGACGGTTATCGGGGTGTGGCTGCTAAGCTGAGCCTAGCTTCGGGGAGTCAAATGTGAGAGTTTGGTGCCAGCAACTGAACCTTAGTCATAGTCTACACCTGCAAGCAAACGGGCGACTTACTATGACCGTCACGTAGACCCACAGTTGGACACCCCTACACCACACAGTAATAGTTGCCAATGTGTAACACAGCGGAATACGGGACATATATATCAAATGTTTTATCGCATTTACAAAATTAACAAAACAAAGAGCACCCCTATACTTATTTTTGATAGATGAAATTCTCGACAATTTATCTAATGGCTTGATTGTTTTTCGTTTCCCACAATATCGTTTAGACACGACTGGCTTAGCATCGTTCCGATGTGCTGCCTCTTTTCTGTCCCTCTGGCGGCATAATGAAAGGCGAGGCCACTTTTGCATTGTGAGGACGGCCCCTCCTCAAAAATGCATCTCATGGAGTGGGACCATGCGATCCACATTTCAACCGTCTTAGGGTAGAGATTCCCTTGCATCTCCCCCCAAGGAATTTTACCTTATAAGACTTGTGACCAAGCCCCTAGTTATGCTTTTGTTTGGGCCGTGTAAATTCGGCGATGGACGCGCGACTGAGTGCTTGATAGATGCAACCTCGTAGGAACTTTGCCCATTAATTTACACCGCTGCAACTACATTCGCAGGAACGCATTTGTGCGGAAAAAGAACCAAGTAAGCTCAGTTCCACAAGTGAGGGGTACTTACGGAGATAGACGAGGAAGACGGA